GTTACGGTTTTCTTCCTAGAACAACTGGTTTTTGTTGATTTTCCACATCTATTACGCTTGTTTTAAATGACTGCATAGGCTTCATTAGTAATGTGCCGTAAGTAATTTAACCCGTTCCCTATTGATGGATGTCTAGGTTGTTTATAGTTTGCAACATTACAAACAATGCTGGGAACATCCTTCTAGGTGTGTCTTTGTGGAAATGTGTGTCTCAGGAGGAGAGGTTCCAAGAAGTCAGACTTCATAAAGAGAATGTGTATTTTATTTTGTTTAATTAGTTAATTAATTTATTTTCCCATCCCTCTGTCTGAAGGTGACTGACAGCAATGGCTAAATAAGTCATGCTGCTAATTTATCTCCAAAGGTTAATTTAGCACATTAGCAATTTCTTTTCTCTGAGAATGTTTATTTTAAATGTTAACTAAACATACATCCCTCCAGCAGTGTTTGAGTGCCCATTTTGCAGGACCCTCATCCATCCTGGGAATCATTTAAAAACATTCTCGTAGTCAGATATGTCTAAGATAATATGTTGTTGTTTTAAGTTTGTACTTTGTTGAGAGATATTCACAGCTTACTAGTTAGTAAACCCTGGGTGAATGACATTTCTGTGCCTCAGTTTTTCTGTCTTTAAAATGGGAACAATAAATAGTTTCTACCTTAAGTGTTATTGTGAAGATTAAATAAATTAACGTGTATCTAAGCCAAAGAGTAAAGTCAAATGTTAGTGGTACAATTATTATTGTTATTATTGCTAGTGAGTTGGAACATATTTTCCCATGTTAACCAGCTATTTTTGTTTTAGGATTTGCCTGTTGATAATTTTTGCCCGCATTTTTATTTGGTTGTTTGCTTATTGATTTGTAGGAGCTCTTTATATATAGTGGCTCTGAGTCCTTAGATATATTTGTTATATTTTCTCCCACTCTGTTGCTTGTGTTTTAACTTTGTTACATCTGTCATCATGCAGAAATCTCCTATAGCTCTTGGATTTTGTACCTTGTTTAGGAATGCCTTCTCTACCCCAATTTATAAAACTAGACTCCAATATTTCCTGCTAGTGTTTTTCTGGTTTGCATTTTTCTGTGCAGTCTGCTATCCTCCTGGATTTTATTTGCCTGATTTGACTTTTCTCTCCCCTGTCCCTGGCAGATGAGGAGGGGCCTGAGGGCCTGACCCAGTTCCTGATGACAGAGGTGCGGCGGCTGCGGGAAGCCCGTAAGAGCCAGCTGCAGCGGGAGCAGCAGCTGCAGGCCCGGGGCCGGATGCTAGAGGAGGAGCGGGCAGGGCTGGAGCAGCGGCTGCGGGAGCAGCAACAGACACAAGAGCGCTGCCAGCGGCTGCGGGAGGACTGGGAGGCGGGGAGCCTGGAGCTATTGCGGCTTAAGGACGAGAACTACATGATTGCCATGCGCCTGGCACAGCTCAGTGAGGAGAAGAACTCAGCCGTGCTGCGCAGCCGGGACTTGCAGCTGGCGGTAGGCCCTGGGGAGATGGGCAGGGACAGTGGGGAAGGGGAAGCTTTTCAAAAAAGACGGTAATGTGGTAGCCAGCTGGTGTCCCAGAGCCACCAGCTGCATGCTATTGGATCGTGGGCAAATCCCTTCTCCGCCCTGTGCCTCAGTGTTCTCATCTGTAACATGGGGATGTTGATAGCACTGATTTCATTAAGTTATGACTGTGGTTCTCAACTGGGGGCGATTGTGCTCCCCAGAAACAATTGGCCATGCCTGAAGATATTTTTGGTGGTTACAACCAGGAATGTGCTGTTGGCATCTAGTGGGTAGAGGCCAGGGATGCTGCTAAAAACCCTAAGCGCACAGGACAGCTCCACAGTCAGTGGCCTGGCCCAGAATGTCCGCATGTGCGGGGACAGTTGGTGCTGGTACACAGTGCTCAAAACTTGCATCATCTTACCTGCTGTAGTGAATATTATTATTATTAAGTGCCACTCTGTGCCATGCTGGTTATGTGCATCGTGTCAGGCAATCTCACCAAGGCACTAGGCACCAGGTTCTCATATTGACATACAGACACAGGCTTAGATTATAAAGAGACCTACTCAAGGTCACAAAGTGGGAAATGGCACACCTGCATTTGAACCAGGTCTCCTGGCACCAGCGCTGGCCTCTGCCCCACGCTGCTGTTCTGCTTACTGCCGTCCCGGTGAAGTCTCACCCAGTTCTCTCCATGAGTGAGTGAGGCTGTGCCTCTTACAGGCTGAGAAACGGAGCCTCTCCTTCTTGGTTTCTTGTTGCGACTTAGCACGGGGATAAAGCTGGTATTTTATGATCAAAGGGACTTGTCCTGAAGATTTAATGCGCTAGTGCTGGGCAGGATTTATCACTGCCAGTGGCTCACAGTAGGCTGTGCCCAGCAATACTGTGCGAGGTTCTACAGGGGGATGCTGACTGTGGGATGTGAAACCCCTGACCCCATGAGCCTCAGTGGTGGCTGTTGCAGGGGGTGACAGGTGCTTGTGGATGATGGGTGGCACATGTGAGGCTATAAGTGCAGGGGCACTGGTGTGATGGAGCTCTTGACTCTGTGTGCAGAGGGGTTGACGTCTGGGGAAACGAGTCCTGACTGGGGACTTTGAGGACACAGATTGACGAGCCCAGGCTGCCAGGCCCACTTGAGCCTCAGTTTCCTCTTCCTCGAAGCAAGCAGTCACAGATGCAGATGACATCACAGCAAAACATCATCTCCTGTGAACTAGGAATGGTCCTCCAGGCTTGACATCCAGTTCCTTTAATTTTCCAGCAACTCTGTTGGGAGGGGGGTTGGCGGGGGCACTGTCCCCATTTGATGATGAAGGAACGGAGGCACAGAGAGGTTGGTTGGAGCACTTTCCCAGGGTTCCAAGATTGAGAATTTCTGACTTTGCTCTGGGCACTGCTGGGGGTGGAGTGGGGTGGGTGGCAGGCAGGGTGAGCCTGCTCGGAGAGGACAGCATGCTGGCTGTCGGCTCCCGGGTGTTGGGAGGGGCTGTGGTCGGCACGGTTTGTCTCACCTTTGGGTTGGGTGTGATTGTGAGTTAGGCCCCTGAAGTGGCTGATGTGTGCATATGACTAGGGGGATGTCCTGTGTGTGTGTGTGTCCAACCACCTGGGGGTCTCCTGGGATGGGGTAGGAGGATGAAGAAGAGGTTCCTCTGTGTGTCTGTGGATCAGTTGCAGGTGCACATAGTGTGGCCACCTAGAGGTGCAGAAATTTGCCAGTAGGATGATAATGACTGCTTTCCCCCAGTTTAGTGGGTAGAGGGTAAGGGGTGAAATTCAATTAATAGATAAGATTTTAAATGTAGCTACTGTAAATGTGCTTTAACTTATTGGAGCTTTTCTGCCACAAAATTTACAAAGGCTTTGCAGATGGAAATGAGCAGAGCAGCTGATCCTGCTTTTCTTGGCAGCTTGGGTTCCCTCCCCTCACCCCCCACCCATGGACAGGTGTGTAGTGGCTGTGATTTAATACTGTGTTTTATAAGGTGCAAATTTAATGAGCTGTTATTTCTAAGCAACATAAACTTAAGGGAACGAACGCTGTAATTTTGTGCTAAGTGAGTTTGTACACCGGGATTAAATACATCTGTGTTTCCTGGCGTTCGGTGAAGACTCCGGGTGCCCTGTCCCCTGAGCTCATCCGGGGAGCCTGCTGGCCGCGGGTCAGGTGGGAGGCCGTGGTGTGTGGCTGCGGTTTGCTGGAGAGGGTGTGACCATGCTTGCCCTTGTAGCTAGCTGTCTTTCTCTGGCGGTTCACAAAGCGTGTGTTGTGAGGGGAAAGGAATGTGAGAGTCATGAATTTCTTTCTGAGTCCTTTGCGGAGGAGGAGCGCACTGTTAATTCATGGAACTGCCTGACCCAGCTTCCAGACCCTTGCGTGTGTGTGTGTGTATGTGTGTGTGTGTGTGTGTTGCCATGCCAGGCCCTGGCGGGGGTGCTGCAAGGCCTTTCCAAGCGAGGCCAGGGCACTCCCAGGGCACCAGACATTGGCACGCCTGAGTGTAGCCCCAGAGGCCATTGTGCCTCTTTTCCAGCAATGACTTCATTTTGTGGCTTGCCACCTGCTGCCACTCTTGTCACTGTCTAGCCACCTCAGACCCTACATGCATTTGGAAAATCACTCTGGCCGATTGCATTCATAATCCAGCAAACTGGCCATGCATGTCTGCTATCTGCCCGGCGGCTACCACTCAGCCGCCTACTCAGCACCCCTGGCCAGCTTCTGGCTGCCCACGCTGAGCTGGTAACAGGCTGGGGTTGTAGGATTTTATTTAAAGCTGTAAAGATGGCCACTGTCACACCCCCAGCAGCTTTACAGCCAGCCTCTGACAATTTAAAGGCCTCTGCCCACCTGCTGTCTTGTTTGATTCTTGCAATGACTTTGGGAGGCAGATGGTGGAGCAGGGGATTGAATGGGCCCATTTTACCGATGGGGAAACTGAGGCCCAGAGGAGTAGGTGACTTGCTTAGGATGGCAGAGGGTAGAGTGGTGCCGTTGAAACCTGGACCCTGGACTTGGAATTCTTTTTGGGGATGAACCTATAGTACAGTCTTCCCGAGTGGAAGCTCTGGTGGGAGGATCTTTAAGGGCAGGTCACACTCACATCTGTTCCCTGAATGTATGTTGAGTGGGGGGGGCTGGGTAAGAGGGGGACATCCTGGCTCTTGGGCTGGGTGAGACCCTCAAAACCATCCTCCTCCTTCTCCCCCCGGGGAGATAAGGAAATGGAGGCACAGAGGGGGGCCATGACTGCTCAAGGCCACACTGAGTTAGGGGCAGAGCGGGGCCCAGCCCCTGGGTCCTCCTGTTCTTGGTGCAGCCCTCCTTCTCCGTCACGCTGGTGCCGTGCTCAGCTGCCTGTGCCCGGTGTTGGAACTGCGGGACAGATGCGCGCATTGTGATGCACCCACAAGTCCTCGAGGCAGACTCTCCTGGGAGGGTGGCTGGCCTTGCTGCCTCCCTTCCTTCCTCGTTGTATTTTTCCAGCCTGTCCCTTCTTCATAGACATGTCCGGGGAGGACTCCAGCTCAGGCCCCTCTGGGAGTTGGGAAGGCACCCAGGAGTGAGGGAGCGGGACTTCTGACTTTTGGCCTGGCTGGTGGTCCCTCCCTGGCCTGACTCCTGTCCTGGGCCCCAGGTGGATCAGCTCAAGCTCAAAGTGAGCCGGCTGGAGGAAGAGTGCACGCTGCTGCGAAGGGCCAGAGGGCCACTCCCTGGGGCCGAGGAGAAGGAGAAGGAGCCCGACAGCGCGGACCTGGTCTCCGAGCTGCGCGCCGAGAACCAGCGGCTGGTGGCGTCGCTGCAGGAGCTACAGGAGGGCCTGCAGCAGGTATGGGGTGGGGCGGGGCGGGGGGCACGGGACATCAGACCCTCCTGCTGCTCACTCTTCCCGCTGAGGCCTGGAGAAAGAGGATTCTAGATCCTGGGATCTGAGATCTGGGTGGAATCCTGGCTGCCCTCTTGTCTTAAGCTCTGAACGGAGGGCCCTCAGTGCTGGGTTCACCCTGGGCTCAGTCTGGGGTCTGTGGGTGGCCCCAGGAGGCCTCTGAACTCCGTGAAACTGTGTGTGAGCATTTTTCTGGGGAGAAGGCCCCAGCTTTCCTTAGATTTGTAGAGGAGTCTGACCCCGGAAAGGTTGAGACCCCTGAGGTCTGGGTGGCGCTGGGGCTTGCTCGGTGTCCCGTGGCAGGTCAGTGCCAGGTCATCGGCAATGTGGGCCTGCCACCTGGCCATTGTTCCACACAGGAAGTGGGAGAGGGAGCCGGGGCCCTAATGTACTTCATGGGATTGGGGGAGCCTGGCTGGGGCATGGGTCTGAGGGCTGGACCTTGGGCTCATGGTCTACTTGCCTGGGCCAGGCTCAGCCCCTGTGAAGACCCCTTTTTGGGGCTGGAGGAATAGGCCTTGGAAATGGCCCCCATCTGCTGTCCTGGGCGACGGGTTGGGGCCAGAGCAAGAGAGAACAGGCCTGGTTCTTGCTGAGGAATAAGTTACCTGTCCAGCTTGTCTGAGCACGCCCTCATCCACTTACCTCATTTGTACCTCAGATGCTCCCTGGAGGGTGGGCAGGGCTGATGGGGCCACACCTACTCACATAAGGGAAGCGAGGTCCAGAGAGTTCAAGGTCCTGGGACAAGATGGCAGAGCTAGTGGGGGTGGGGCCGAGGGCCTTGTGTCCTCCTTACTCCCACACTCAAGGTGGGCCCTGAGCCAGAGGCTGAGGCAGCCCTGAACTCTGAACCCCCAGGAGGCGAGCCGGCCTGGAGCCCCAGGCTCTGAGCGGATCCTGCTGGACATCCTGGAGCATGACTGGCGGGAGGCGCAGGACAGCAGGCAGGAGCTGTGCCAGAAGCTGCATGCCGTGCAGGGGGAGCTGCAGTGGGCCGAGGAGCTGCGGGACAAGGTGGTGTCCACGTGCTCCCCTCCCCACCACCTTCTCGCTAACAGCCTGGGGAGGCTCCTGGGGAGGGGAGGGTGGTGGGCATCACCACTTTAGCCAGCCTTCCCCCAGCATCTGCTGTGTGCCCGGTTCCTGTGCCAAGAACTGTGCACTCAGTTGTCCTCAGATATTTATTGAGATACATCAGTGAACGAAACAGAGGACCTGCTCCTGTGGAGGGCAAATTCTAGCTGGGGAGACAAACAGGGCGCCATACACGTAATCCTCAGTCCGTTCGTTCATGTAACAAGGTGATAAGGGCTGTGGAAAAAGCAGGGCAGAGTAAGGAGGCAGACCAGAGTTTAGATGGGGAGGCCGAGGCTGGCTGGGACGGGGTTGTTAGCCCCGTTTTAAGATTAGGCAGCTGAGGCCCAGTGAGGTGAAGTCAGTCGTCCCAGCCGCCCAGCTGGGAAGGTGGGCACTCATTATTGGGGCTCAGGCCTCTCTCTCTGGATCTGCTGGGCACCTGCTCGGTAGCTTCCCCTGGTCCCCAGTCCTGGGACCTGACCCTGGGTGTGTCCCACCCTGCTCCGTCCTGCCCTGCCCGCAGTACCTGCAGGAGATGGAGGACCTGCGGCTGAAGCACCGGACGCTGCAGAAAGACTGTGACCTGTACAAGCACCGCATGGCCACCGTCCTGGCCCAGCTGGAGGAGATCGAGAAGGAGCGGGACCAGGTGAGGCCGTCCTGCGGTCTGCACAGCCCTTCTCTGGCCGCTGGTTCTCGTCCTGGGGAAGATGAGGAGGGGCAGGTGGGACCAGAATTGTAGACAGAGGTGAACAGTGCACTCATTCATTTAAGATGGGGCAGGTAGGCCAGGAGAATCAGACACGGGACCTGAACGCTCGAGATGCTCCAGCCCTGCCCCCTGAACACCCCTGCCTCACCTGGGCTCCTGGGACAGTTACAAAAGTTGGTCCCAGCAGCCTTTCCATCTGAATCCCTTGTTCTCCCCACGACCAGGGCAAGGTCTACATGGGGAGGTGCTTACAAATGTTTGCTGATGAAGAAATTCTCAAAAGTTCTCGCTCCCAGTGCTCATCTCCTGAGGCTACAGGGTGGGCTGAGGGCCCCCAGGCCTCCTTGTCTGAGGCTCCCAATGCAGTGGGGCGGGCAGCAAGTTTTGTCCTTGGACCAAATTTGAGTCCCACTAGAGGAGTTGAAGTCCACACATGAGAATGGGCCTTAGGATCCCCTGGTGGGCCTGGTGAAAATTCAGATTTGAAGTTTCGTCCCCAGACATTCTGATTCAGGTGGTCTGGGGTAGGCCCAGGAACCTGCATTTACCCACCTGCTCCTAGCCCTTAGGTCTCTAGCCCTAGCTCCCTCTCAGACAGAGTGGCAGGTCCCAGCCATGGGCCCAGCTCTCAGGGACCCTGGTCTTCATTGTGGGGAAAAGTGCTTTTGGTGCAGTGGCTGGGTTTGAACCCTGGAGGCTGGGAATAGAGTGCCCTGCACACAGTAGATCTCACAGGAAAGTTTTATGGTTTTTGTTTTTTTTCTTTTTAGTAGAGGTACTGAGGATTGAACCCAGGACCTCGTGCATGCTAAGCATGCGCTCTGCCACTGAGCTATTACCCTCCCCCCTTAAGTTGTTTTTGGGAAATGCTCAGAGCCTGGATTCTGCAGCTCTGTCCCTGCTGGTTTGGTTTCCCTGTGTATAAAATGAGCATAACAAAAAATCTCTTAACTTGGAGAGTTTGTCTGAAGATTAAATGAGCTGATATTTAGCACGGGGCCTGGCCCACGGGAAGTCTTTAATAAATGTTAGCTGCTGTGCCTGTTGCCACCACCCCCATCTAAGAGGTCGGAGGCCAGGACAGCTGAGCCAGCCGGGCTCCTTCGGCTGCTGGCCCAACACCTCCCTGCCCGTTCTCGCCAGGCCATCCAGAGCCGAGACCGGATCCAGCTGCAGTACTCACAGAGCCTCATCGAGAAGGACCAGTACCGGAAGCAGGTGCGGGGCCTGGAGGCTGAGCGGGATGAGCTGCTGACCACGCTCACCAGCCTGGAGGGGGCCAAGGCCTTGCTGGAGGTGCAGCTGCAGCGGGTCCAGGGCGGCCCCTACCTCAAGGTGAGCAGGGTCATGAGTATGAGCTGGAACTCTTGGCCAGGGTTGGTGCATCAGGGGACAGGCCAGGAGCATGTTGGTCTCTGAGTTTCTGGGGTTGCACCTAGGGCACAGAGAACAGTTTGAAGTCCGTCTTAGCATACACTTGGAGAAGCCTGGCTGCCCGAGGGCCTGTGAGCATCTTAGAATGCAAATCATGGGCCTTACAAGTCCCTCAGAGATTAGCTAGTCCAGTTCCCACAGGGCCCAGAGAGAGTCAGAGGCTTGCCCAGGATCACTTAGCCAGCCAGCAAATGGAGCTGGGCTCTCAGACCCCTTACAAACCAGACACTGGCTCTCAGACCTCTGCCAGGAACTCTGTCTTTTCCCATCTTGGGTTTGCTTAAACTCCTTGTCAATCAGCCAGGAGTTTAATGCCTGAAGAAATAGAACAAAGGAAGCATGAATCTGTGATATCTGACTGTTAAAAATCCTCAGTGGGTTTTAGGTGAAAGGCAAAGCCCCTTACCATGCCCTAGAGGCCCTGCAGAGGGGCCCTTTACCCCAGCTCCCACTCCCAGCCTGGTTTCCTGGGTCTTAGCCTTTTAATTCCTGGAATGTGTCACAGTCCTGCCTCAGGGCCTTTGCACATACTGTTCTGTCTTTGCACATACTGTTCCGTCTGCCTAGACCATCCTTTCGAACTTTATCTACTTAACACCTATTTATCCTTAAGCTCTCAGTTCCAACCATACTTTCTCTGGAAGGCACTCTGATGCCCCAGGCTGGGTGGGGCTTTTGAGTGCCTTTCCCACCCTGGGTACCTTCCTTCCTGAGTCTTTTGGCAGCTGGGCTTTATTTCCTTCATCTGTCTGCGTGTTTATAGTTTGTCTCCTCTGCTCGGCAGTGAGCTCCATGAGGGCAGGGATCCAGCTCCCTCATTCCCCACCATGTCCCTGGTCCTGGCACGTGGCAGGCGTTTAGAAAATGGCAGTGGCTGGCCCTGGCCCAGCGCTGCTGACCTCTCCCCGCCCTCTTCCTCTCCCAGGCCTGTGCATCTTCCCATTCCCTGTGCTCCAACCTCAGCAGTACCTGGAGCCTGAGCGAGTTCCCCTCCCCACTTGGAGGCCCGGAAGCAGCGGGGGAGGCGGCTGTCATGGGGGGTTCTGAGCCCCACACCTCGGTAAGACAGCTCTCCTAGTCCGGATATGGGGGGGTACTGATGGCCGTCGTGTAATTACTGACGTGTAGAGTGCTTTCCAGTTTGCTAACAGTTCTGTTTCACATGAGAGGAAATCGATGTCCACGAAGGCCAAGTGCCTTATTTAAGCTCATGCAGAGAGCTCAGAGCTGAGCCTGGGCACCCGGAGACCAGGGGAGCCACTCTCACACCGTAACCCCACAGAGCCCACTCCTCTGCTCTGGGCCCTAGTTCTCATCTGTGAAATGGACGCAGACTAGATATGTTGAGTTTTAGGCAGGTACCTGGGGGTGACCAGGCCCTGCCATGGTGTTGCAGGAAGAGGCCACCGACAGCGAGAAGGAGATCAACCGCCTCTCCATCCTGCCCTTCCCCCCCAGCGCTGGTTCCATCCTCCGCCGGCAGCGTGAGGAGGACCCTGCACCTCCTAAGAGGTAAACAGGCTGGGAAGAGGGCAGCAGTGGCCCAGGGAGGGGGTGCTGCTGTTACCTGAAACAGCCATCTCCCAGAATCCCTGATGCCAGGGTCAGGTCCAGTCTATCACCTCCCTTTACTGCCCTTGAATGGCTGGAGCTCCAGGTCCCAGGAGTCATAGGTGTAACTGAGGTCAGGGGTTAAGACAAGGTCAAAGGACAGAGTGGGTTCAGTCCCTGCTGAGCACCCTGGCATGAGAGTCATTGGAGGTTAAGTCTCAAAGATCCTAAATCCAGGGGGAAGCCTGGGTGGTTCAAGACTAGGAGACACGGAGGCAGTTCCAAGGGGTCGGGGACCTCAGGCAAGAAAGTCAGGCCTCAGGTTCAGGCAGTGGCAGTAAATGGGAGCTGGAAAAACCGAACTGTGTTTGCTGGTGCAAGACCGAGGGCAGGAGATGTCCTGCCTCCTGGTGTATGTCCCCCTGTCACTGGCTTGATCAGATGAGTGACCCCGCCATGATGGGTGTGTGATGAGGAGGTGATGGTGTAGTGTGGGAGGCAGACCCCAGAGCCACGAATGACAGAGATGGAAAGTGGGGCTGAGATGAGGTGTGAGTGGTCAGGGCAGGCTTCCAGGAGGGAGTGGCATTAGAGGACAGGCCAGGCCTTCTAGGTGGAAGGACACAGGGCAGAGTTCAGGATGTTAGCTTCTTGCCCTTAAGGGGATTGGATGGCACGAGCACCCTGTGCCTGAGGCCCCCGCCTTGGGTCTAGCTTGCATGTGCTTGAGTGTTGCTGGCCTATTGGTGGCCCAGGGGCGGGAGCAGGGGTTGGGGCTGAGCACCCACTGTGCCTCACGCCGGCCCCTCCCGTCCTCTGTCCGCCCAGGTCCTTCAGCAGCATGTCGGACATCACAGGTAAAGGCCAGGGGACTCCATGGGGAGGGTGCATCTGGGGGCCCACCTGAGCCCTATGCCGCCTGCTCTGCCCTTGGCCTGCATCCCCTCCCTGAGGCTTTGCTGTCCCCTGGTCAGGCAGGGAGATTCTGCCCTCTTGGGGAAGTTGGTTCACACCTCTCACCCTGAGCCCACCCTGGTCCTCTCTCCCTGTCCTGGCTGTCCTGTATGGGCCTCCTCAGTTCCAGTCCACCCTCCACCTTTTTCCAGGAAACTCAAGGGTCACCCTGGCCAGCCCAGGCTAGTGGGTCCAATGTGTTCCTGGAGCCTCAAACCTGCGAAGTCCCAGGCCTCTGGGCCCTGGGCCATCCCTGGGCTCGAGGGACTCAACCCTTTCTCATGGACCCCGGCCCTCTCCCATTGCTCAGTCTGGCACCACTGAACCTCACTTTTCCTCCCCAGGGAGTGTGACCCTTAAGCCCTGGTCTCCTGGCCTCTCATCATCCTCATCCTCTGACAGCGTGTGGCCTCTGGGAAAGCCGGACGGCCTTCTGGCCAGAGGCTGTGGCCTGGATCTCCTCAACAGGTATCCCAGCCGCCTGCGGTGGGTGGAGCAGGGGCAAGGTGGGAGGGAGCAGCAGTGAAATCTTTGCCTCATGCAGCTGTCAGACTATTAAGGTCTTTAGACAGAAGCAGAGATTGGATTCAAAACCACCGCTTATCATCTGGGAGACTTGGGCTGGTCACTTCACCTCTCTGGGCCTCAGTTTCCTCATCGGCTAAAGAGGCACAGTTATCTCTTCTGCAGGTGGTGTTTGGAGGTTTAAGACTTGTCGCAGAAAAGCACCCCGCTTCGCCAGGCGTATGGTGGATGCTCGGTAAATGGTAGCTGTTACTTGTACCGACATTCTGCTCGTCTGTCCTCCTGGCTTGGAGCTCCCAGCAGGAGTGAACCTCCCAGCAAACTTCGTGCTGAGGGTCGGGTGGGGCCGCCCTGGGAGCCCCTGCAGCTGGGCTGGCCTCAGGCCCACAACCGGAGTCATGAACCACATCGGCTCAGAGCAAGCTGCAGGCAGTGTGCTCTGTCTGTTCTGGTGGATGAGTGGCCTCCCTGGTGAAGCCCGTCAGTGATCTCAGGAGGGTGGGCAATAGAAGAGGCCGATCTGAGAATGTGGCCTTTGAACTCAGACAGCTGGGTGACGTGGAAAAGGAGGCTGTCCAGGGCCTGGAGTATGGTGGTGACTGGAGCAGGGGGTGAGGGTGGGGGAGGGGAAAAGGCGAAAGTCGAGGCCAGGGCAGGCTTTGTGAGTCAGGCTGGGGAAGTGTGGATTTTGGCTTGTCCAAGCTGGGAAACCTGGGCGGGCTTAGCTATCACTAAATGCAAGGCGGGCTGCTGGCTGCCTTACAGCATTCCCTCTGTTCTGGGAGGTAGGTGTTATTATGATTACCCCCGTTTTATGGAAGAGGAAACTGAGACTCAGAGAGGTTACGCGATTTGCTGGAGGTCACACACCTGGGAGGTGCCAGGGTCAAGGTCCAGAGTGAGCTGATCAGATTTGGGTTTTGGAGCGGACATAGGAAGCACTGATTGTCAGAGCTGTAATGCAGGGATGCTGGATAGAGAGGACAAGAAATCAGAGCAGAGCAGAACCGGGGCCTCCTGCCTCCTGGAAGCAGCTTGGCCAGGCCCCTGGCCAGGTCCCTGCCCCCACCCTCACCCTCCGGCACAGGGCCCAGTGTGACATTGTTTCTCACTGTGCAGGACGTGCTTCTAGGGGAAGGGCGGAGGCGCCTCCCTTCCTGCCTGCCTCGGCCCTTCCTCCCTGCCTCCGCTCTGGCCTGCAGCAGGGGTCCTGGCTGCTGTCCAGGGGGCGCCGGGATGCAGCAGAGGGAGCTGGAGTTTCTGGTCCAACCCCCACCTGGGCCCCATGATCACATAGGGCCACCTCTGCTGCCCACACAGTTCCTGGGAGGGGGAAGATGGGGGAGAACACAGACTGGGGTAGGGGCAGGGGTGGTGGTCTGAGAAAAAAGGGGTGAACAGATGGGAGGTCAAGGATGTTTTAGCCCTAACTGGCTGGGGGGTGCTGTTTGCATGTGTCCTGAAGTGGGGGCAGGGTTCCAGCTCAGAGCATAGTGGGGAAGAACAGAGTTGGGAGCCAGCTGAAATCCCAGCTCTGTCACTTGTGACCACGGGGCCTTGGGCAAATTTCCCAGTGCCTCAGTTTCCTGCTCTGTAAAGTGGGGTCACAGTAGTGCCTGTCCCCTGAGGTCATTGTGGGGGTTGGGGTATTCCTATTAGAGTGCTTAGAACAGCGCCTGGCTCTCAGGCAGTGGTAAGTTGGCTCTTAGCTATTATGATTATTGCTGTTGTGGCTTAATCCTCAGAGTAGCCCTGCGAGCCCCATTATACAGGTGAAGAAAATGAGGCTCAGAGAGTCAGGGATTTTTCCCAAGGCCTCTTGGTGGTGGAGCGCGGGATTCCTTTGTCCTTTCGTTCTGTGGAACCTGCGTTGACTTCATGCTCGGGTTGAGTGCTCACTGTGTGCTGGGCGTTTTCAGCCCTCCGCTCTCCTCTGCCCTTCTTGGCTCCCAGGGCCTTGGGGCGAGCTGGGGTGGGGGGCATGTGCATGCTGGGGCAGGCCAGAGGTTGGACAGGCCGGTGGAAAAGAGTGAAAGTGAGTTGCTGAGTGGGGAGGGCACTCGGAGAGTATGGGGGTGCTGTCACCTTGGCAGGGCTGCCCTTGCCCACACTTGTCACACAGACACAGGGTCTCCGGAACCGGCCGACCTTGCACAGGGAGGGTTCGAATAGGTCATTGCTTGACTCCACCACCCACCAGCTGTGTAACTCTCATCAAGGTATAACTTCCCCGGGCCTCAGTTTCCCTCTTCTTTAATAACAGGTGGCCCCCTTAGGGTTGTCAGGAGGGTTCAGTGAGGTAATCTGTGTGACATGCTTAAGTCTCAGCTTCATGGGTCCCTGACCTGACTAGGGATCTTCCCATAGTGCTCTAGGGTGGGACAACACTCATCCAGTCCACTTGGGCCATCACTGCTCAGGCTGGCAGAGTGAAGGACTTGGCCCCGTTCCCCTGTGCCCCCAGGTCCCCTGTGACCTGACACTGGGGGAAGGGGTTAGGAGTTTTCTCCTATCCTTCCCGCAGGCAGGGTTGGGGTCAATCAGATTATGTTGCCGGAAACCCAGGAGTCCTGAGAGGTTGGTGTAGGCAGACCCCCACTCGTGTTCTTCTCTCTTCTCCCACCCACTTGTCTGCTGAGGCCTGGGGCTGAGGGACCTGATCTGTTCCTCCCCGCAGTGAGCCCCCAGGTGGTAGCCTGGGGCCGTGGAGGCCCAGAGAAGTCACTTGGTCCTTCAGGAAGGTGGGCAGGGCATCTTGAAGGAAGGGATGGCTGAGCTGGGTCTCGGAGCATGAAAACCTTGGAGTAGCCATGGACTTGCCCTGATGCTGGAATTGCAGGGAAGGGAGGGGTGTGCCGAGGCAGGGGCTGGGGGCTAGCAGGTGGGGCCTGGAGGGCCTGGGTGCAGGCTGCTCGCCGGGCCCTCGACTAGGGAAGCTGTGATGGTCAGTTGTCTGTGGGTTTGAAATGGGTGGGGAAACAGGGCCACAGGGAGGTGACTTGTCTTGAGTCACACCTGTTGACAATGAATGTCTAATTTTTATTGAGCACTTAGTTTTCCTGGGCACTGTTCTAACAACATCCCATGTTTTAACTCACTGAATTGTACAACAAGGTAGTTAGATGCAGATAGGATGGCTGAGGCCAAGAGGTAGGCTGCCAGGCCGCCTGGCCCCAGAGTTCCTGCTGGCACCCTCCACGTCTTTCTCAAACTCTTCTGACCACAGCCCACACTGAGGGAAGCCCAGTACATGTGCCTGAAACAAAAGGGGCACAGGAAGATAGCTGCATTTACTTGAAGGGAGGCAGGCTTCTATTTTCTAACCCATCTCATTAAAAAACAGTGTTGGTTAGGACCCAGTGAATTGCACAACCCATTTCGGGGCAGGCCTGCAGCTGGAAGGTCCTGGAGCCCTCTGGTTTCCACCTCTACCTGCATTATCTCTACATTTGCCTGACCGTCACAGCCACCGTGGGAGATGCGTGCCCCTGCTTTATGCATGCGGTGGTAGAATCAAGTGGCCACCTCGCTTGCCCAAGTCTTCATATGGTTAACACTGGGGCTGGAGCTGGACTGTGTTGCTTCAGCTGTACGGCCATTGGGCAGCATAGCCAGCCCCGGCCTCAGGCCTCTCCTCTCTCCCCAGGCCTTTCTTGCCACATCAGTGCGGCCAGGGCAGTCCCAGGGCTGAAGAAGCCTGCAAAGGCGGCGCTGGTGCTTCCAACATCCATGTCTAGCCACAGTCCTTTGGGCCTGGCTCTCTGTTTTGACTGAGGGGGCAGGAGCTAGACGGACTCCCCAAGGCTGGGGTTTCCCCGCTCTGCATGGGTGCTGATTGGCTTAAGGTCCTTGCAGCCTTGCCCACTCCCGGCTGGCAGCAGGGGGCAGTGTGGCAGTGTGGCTGCAGCTGCCAGGGTGGGTGGGTGGGGAGGTGAGTGAACGCCCCAGCTCTGCCTGGGCCTCCCCTCCAGCTGGGGAACACCCACTGACCCTGGCCTCTCCCTTCCCCAGAGCCATGGCAGAGGGGTTATGGGGAGACTTCTGGTCAGTTTTCTCTGAATCTGGCCACAGGGTGCCACCAGTTCTCGTCCAGGGACAGGCAGAGTCCTGCCATGATGGGGATCTTGGTGACTCTTTGTGTTAACTGTCCTGGTTCCCACTGCCCATGAGAGGGAGGCCAGAGTTCATTCCATGCCCTCCACAGGCTGGCTCCAGGGTGCCTTGGAGCTATTTCCCTGGATGTTAAATGAGTTAATTAGGGCAAGGAGCTTAGCGTGGTGTCTGGCACATGGGAGGCACCCAGTAAGTGTTGCTTCTCCTGTTATTATTGTTGTTATTAAATTCTTCCACCCTGTATCCTGTCCTCCACTCCTTTGCCCATACCAGCCCTTCAGCCTGGAACCATGTCCTCCCTTGTCGGTTCCCAAAGTGCTTCTGTTCTTCACTGTGACGCAGTCCAGCTGCTGCTTCCTCTGGGAAGCCGTTCCCCTTTGTGCTCCCACTGCTGGCTGTAACCATCTCTGATCTGTGTTGTGTTCTAAGGGCGACCTCCCTCCCTGGGCTGTGAGCATAACAAGCTTTTAAGTCATCTGCTATGTGCCAGACACAGTGTTTGGGGCTAGGGATCCGGAGTTGAACATGATAGCAGGCTGGTTCTCAGGGTGTTCTTTCTTAGGGAGGGAACAAAAGGAGAAATACAAAACTACGGCACTCTGGCAGGAAGCCTCCGCCTCATTGTGTGCAGGGGTCTTGGAGGGAGCGGCCTCTTTTGACCTGAGCTTTGAAGGATGAGCATAATTTGCCAGGCGGAGAATGAGGGGGAAGGTCATTGCAGCAGGTGCAGTGGCCCGATGGTGGGAGTCATGGCATCCTTGGGGGTATCACTGTGGTTTTCCAAGAATGTTGAACTGAATCAAGATACCTGACTAAACTCGAATTCCCATCTTCTTTCTCTCTTCTCAGGTCTCTGGCCATCCGAGTGTCAGGCTGGAGTCCCCCAGGGGGGCCCGAGTCCCAGGACAAGGGCTCAGATGGCTTGTTCCCTGGGGACAATTGGTCTGGGGCCGTGGTGCGGAGGGTGCTCTCTGGGCCAGGGTCTGCGAAGGTGGAGCCAAGAGAGGTGAGGCCCCGCCCCTCTGAGCTAGGGGCGGAGTCAGTGCGATAGCGTAGGCGGGGTGTCCTCTGATTGGTGGAGCTAGGTCACTGCGCAGTTTTTGGGGATTGGCCAAAGCAGAGGCGGGCTGAGTGACCAGCTGCTGGTTGCCCCGCCTCAGCCAGCATTAAGTGAAATCTGATTGGGCGGGGGCTGGGAGGTGGGGCAGACTGACTACACCTGGACAGCTCCCCACTCTTACACGTGGGGAAGACCAGACTGAACCAGGCTTGGGGCAGGAGTCCTGTTGCTGTGAGCACTGATCCGACTGGGCACACGCACTATGAGAATGAGAGGGAAGGTCTCATTTTTTGAGACATAGCCACCCCACGCCCGGTGTTCTCCAGCTTCAGGGCTGTCCTGGGAAGCCCTGGGAAACTCACTTCCCTCCCTGCCTGTGTTTTCTCCCAGCCAAGGGCAGAGGCTGCTGGCTTGGAGGGGGCAGGCCTGGAAGGGGAGGCCCAGCAGAGAACCTTGCTCTGGAACCAGGCATCCACACTCCCCTTCCTGATGGACTTCAAGGGTAAGTCTGGCCTCGGGGAAGTTACTGGGAACTCAGGAGTCCTGGATGGTCAGAACTGAGGGCGCAAGAGAGGGCTCATCCTGCCCATGGTGTGAGTGGGGCAACTGAGGCCTGAGGGAGGACACTCCACCTCCTGACTCCTGGCCCTCCCCTTCTGCACTGCTGTCTCCTGGCTGGTCGTCTGTTCTTGTGCCCTTCCTCTGTCCTGTCTTCAGTATGCAGCTTACAGGGAAAGGAGCACTGGAAAGGAGTCCGGAGGCCTGGGTTCGGGTCCTGGGTCTGTCCCTAGAGGGGTTGGTGGTTTTGGGCCAGTCCCTGCCCTCCCTGGGCCTTGGACTCTCATTTAAGATGGGGAAGATGGGGTCCTGGCCGCTTAGTCCTCGAGAGGGCTACGTCTGTGGCCTCTCCGAGGTTGATCCCTGACTTCTTCCTCCTCTTATCCTCCCTGCTGCCCCCTGCCCTGTCCATGCCCAGCCTGCCAGTCCTTCCATGAGGCCCTAGACGCCTGGGTGAAAAGGCCAGGTGCCGAGCCCTTCTACATTCGAGCCAACCTCAACCTGCCTGAGCGGGCCGACCCCCACGCCCTGTGTGTGAAGGCCCAAGAGATCCTGCGGCTGGTGGACCCTGCGTACAAGCGGCGGCAGGAGTGGTTCTGCACGCGGGTTGACCCCCTCACACTGCGGGACCTGGACCGAGGCACTGTGCCCAATTATCAGAGGTGTCACAGCCAAGAGCCCTGGGAGCTGGGACTGGGGTGGGGGACTCTTTCTTCTTCCTCGCACATTCCTTTGCTATCCTCTGGGATAGGATGGGGGCCTGGAGGAGAGGAGGTGAGGGGCTCCCCTTCTCCCTGCAAATGCATGATCCCCCAACCCCCACAGAGCCCAGCAGCTCCTAGAAGTTCAGGAGAAATGCCTGCCCTCCAGCCGACACCGGGGGCCCCGCAGTAATGTAAGCAAGGCTGGGAGGGCAGGGTGAGGGCCTGGGGAGGGGGGTGCCAAGGATGGGGCCCAAAAGGGAGAGGACAGGCTGCACTCTCTGGCAGCTGAGGGAGGAGGCCCTGCCCAGACTTGGTTGCTCACCTCTTGGTGATCTCCTTGGTTGCTCCTCCACTTGGACTGGTTGAGCCTCTACGATGTGCCCAGCAAAGGGAGCGGCAGGGCTCCCTGTTCAGATAGTTGAGAGGAGGAAGTGAGGCAGGGTGCCTGGTGCCCAGGAGCATGCGTGGCATGTGGTGAGCACTTAACAGAGCAACGGCCACACCCCCTTCTCTAATCCCTGGACCAGGACTGGGCTGGGTGGTGGTCCCCACCCCAGGTGGTCCCCTGGGGCAGAAGGAGGCTGAGAGAGGTCAAATATCTCAAGAGACCATGGTGCTAGAGAGAAGGTGGGGAGCCTGGGTTCTGGAGCCAGGCCACCTGGATTTGAATCCCAGCTCTGCTGCTTCTCAGCCCTGTGACCTTGGACGACCCCCTGACCCTCCCTTGAGGCTTTGTTTCCCCATCTGTAAATTGAGGGGATTACGCTGCCTGCCTTGTGGGCAGTGGAGGGCTTCAGTGAATCCATGCACATGTGGGGTCTGGGCAGCGTGTGTCTCATTGTAGGCTTTCGATACCTGTCAGCTGTGGGTATAATCAGGGCTGTCGTTACTGGTTTCCATAGTCTTCCTACCCGAGGTCACGTTGCTAATTCATTGGAAGAGACTCCAAAGTGTGTCTCCTTGTGTGATTTCTGGACCTCGGTTTCCCCATCTGTAAAGTGGGGGGAGATCTAAGGCTCCTCTGGCTCTAACTGGCTCTGGCAGGCTTGCTTCCCTAGGCCCTTAGTAATGGTCACCCTTCCTGCCTCAGGGGCTGTGCTGGGCCTGGTGGAGACAGGGGGAAGCCTGGTGGGTGGGGGCTCCTGTGCTGACCTGTGAGCCTGGACAGCACTGGCAGTGGGGGGACCCCCTCTCCGGGAGGGTGGGGTGGAGCTGAGCTCTCAGGTGCCCCTCTTTCCCTACCCCCACCCCAGCTGAAGAAGAGAGCCTTGGACCAGCTGCGGCTGGTGAAGCCCAAGCATGTGGGGAGTCCTGCTGGGGACTCCCCGGAGCAGCTGCTGCTGGAGCCCTGCTCAGGTGGGTGCAGAGGTGCGAAGGTGTGTCCTGCGCTGCCCACAGTGTCCAGGAGTGTGCACATCTGGAGGTCCTTTGGCCTTGGTGGTCCCTCTGGTCCTGAAGGGCCTGTTGGAGGGTTCTGGTGGGGGGCAGGGCCCATGCCAGGGCCTGGTGGGAGATGCCAGGGTTGAGGGAGCTTGCTGGGGGAGGCACACGTGTCCAAGTGTGACTGTGGGTCTGTGTGAGTTTGGGGCCTGCACAATCATGGGCCTGTTCTCGTCTGGCAAAGCACACAGAGCTGTGCTTCTAGCCTGTGTGTGATGGCAGGTGCCATGACAACCCTGGATGGAGTTCCTGGAGGCAGGAGGGTGAGGCCTGGCCAGATCAGGGAAAAGGGACTAGGGGAGCCCAGATAAGGGAATAGCAGTTCTGAAGGGCAAGGAGGAGAGGGTGGTTAGGAAAGACTTCCTGGAAGAGAGATGGTTTGAACGGGGGCCTTCAAGAATGAAGAGGCATTTGTGCCAGGCAGAAGTCACAGCTTGTGCAAAGGCTCAGAGGCATGGCTAAGTGTAGTGTGTTTGGAGGACACAGTACAGCAAGTGAGTATTGAGCACTAACTCTGTCACGCATTGTGGCCTGATTGGAGCACAGGCCGGGGACCCTGCCCATCTGGGGACCTGGGAAAATGTGACCTGGGCTCTGAAAGGAGAGTTAACTGGGCCAAGAGGTGCAAAGGTGGGGCTGTGTCACCCCTGGGCATGCAAAAGCCCATGGTTAGAGCTGTTGAGCTGTGAGGCAGGAATGGAGGCTGTTGTGATGGGGCACGTGGCTCGCTGCCTCTCCAGGCTCTGGCAGGGCTGGGTCACCCGTATGGAGGATGTGGCCTCTTTCCTGAGAGTTGTGGGAAGTCACTGGTGCTTTGAAAGCAGGGTAGTTAACAGGATCTGACTTCAGTTTTAAAGCCTCTCTCCAGCTGCTGAGAGGAGAATGGCCTGTAGGGGGCAAGGGTGAGGCAGAGGATCCGGGAGGAGCCTACTGCATGGGTCCCAGAGAGGGAGGGGCGGCTCTGCTGTGGCTGTGGGAGAAGCAGCAGTGGGACTTAGGAAGGGAAGTGGGTGGGGTGACTTTAGGAGAGGCATTGGGGTTTTGAGTATCAAGAGGAAGGCCGCCCCAGGGAAGATGAGCTGGGGCCCTGCCCCCAATCTCATCTGTTCCGCACCCGCTCCGCCACCCAGAGCCCGAGCAGAGCCTCAAACCCTACAGCCTGGTGCGGCCCCTGCTGGTGTCTGCCTTGCGGCCCGTGGTGCTTCTGCCTGAGTGCCTGGCGCCCCGGCTCATCCGCAACCTCCTAGACCTGCCCAGCTCCCGCCTGGACTTCCAAGTGTGCCCAGCAGGTGAGCCTGCGTGCCGGACAGGGGAGGCAGCACCCTCGGGGCAGCCAGGCCTACTGGCCCTTCATTCTTGCCTCTCCTGGCTCTTCAGAAAGCCTCTCTGGGGAGGAGCAGTGCACATCCTCAGCGCCTGGAGCCCCCAAAGCCTGGCCTGCCCCTCCGGGGCTGGGGAGCAGGATCCGTGCCATCCAGGAGTCTGTCGGGAAGGTAGGTGCTTGGGGCAGGGTGGCTGTGAGTGGGGGCGGTCCTCTGGGCCCGAGAGTAGAGTCCGAGTGCAGGCCTGTGCCGCTCACCTGCAGAGTGACCCTGGGCAAGTCCCTTCCCTTCTTTGGGCCTTTTTCCTCACCTGTGAAGTTAGTGGGCTGGGGCAGCCAGCCTCATGTGGGTCGCCCTAGAGGCTGATACATTTCACCTGTTTGTCCTTGTGGTCAGACTTGCCGCTTCCCTGGAGCTGGCCCAGGCTGCTGGGGGTGGGGTCAGCTCCATTCTACGGATGGGAAGGCTGAGGTCCAGTGGTGGGTAGTGACTTATGTCCCTTGGTCTTGGGCCTACCCTTCCAGTTCTTTCCTTGTTGCCAAGTCCCTCTGGGTGACGTCACAGGACCTGTAGGGGGCTGTGCTTTCGGTCCCAGTCAGGGGGTTGGGGGTTAGTGGGGTCTCTGGCCTGGGAGTAAAATGTAGCCTTGAACCACCCCCGAGAAGAAGCACTGCTTGTTGGAGCTGGGTGCGCGGGGTGTGCGGGAGCTGGTCCAGAACGAGATCTACCCCATCGTCATCCACGTGGAGGTGACTGAGAAGAATGTCCGGGAGGTCAGGTGAGACGGGCTGGGAGGATGGGGGGACCCCCCCTTTCTCCCTTTCCGATGCCTCTGTCTCTGTCTCTGTCTCTGTCTCTTCCTCTTCTCCATCTCTTTGTTTGCCTTCCGTTCTCTTTTTTCTCTCTTTGTCCATCCTTTTTCTCAGGCTCTCCACATCTTAGTCTGTCCCCTTCCCTCCGTCTCATGGTCCATCTTTATCCCCCACCCTGACCACCCTGACCACCACCTACTCTCTCTCCGCAGGGGTCTGCTGGGCCGGCCGGGCTGGCGGGACTCCGAGCTTCTGCGGCAGTGCCGAGGCTCGGAGCAGGTGCTCTGGGGGCTGCCCTGCTCGTGGGTGCAGGTGCTGGCCCACGAGTGGGGCCACTCGGAGGAGCTGGCCAAGGTGGTGCGTGGCCGCATCCTGCAGGAGCAGGCCCGCCTCGTGTGGGTGGAGCGCGGCAGCGCCAGAGGCTGCAGCAGCAGCAGCAGCGAGGCCTGAGGGGCCCCTTCTGATGCCTGTGCCTTCCTCACGCACTTCAGAAGCCACCAGCGGGGACCCTGGTGTCTGCGGTGGAGCCGGGTCCTCTCCATCCTGAGCCTTCCCAGATCCTGGGATTTTTGCTTCTGGGCTCTGGGCTCTGTCACCCGCAGGAGCCCCGGGGCAGAGCTTCCGCCCACCCCTCTACTTGCTGCTCTGGGCCTTCCCGTGGCCTCGTGTCTCCATGGACCCATTCTCGTGGGTCTCACGCACACCTGTGTCCTCTCCCTCGTTGCTCACCTCAGAGCATCTGCATTCTCACTCCTGTGCACTGGTTTGCACACCCGGGTTCTTTTCGGGCAGCTCATGTCTGCCCCTCCCTCCGGCACGAGGTCTCCTGGCTTTGGGGCCTCTTCTGCTCACAGGGGCCCCGAGCCCATCTCTCGTGACCCACCCGTCCGGCTCACATTTCCTGTGTGTACCTCCACAGGGGCGTTGTGGCTTCCCCCGGTCCACTGTCACCTGTAACCCTCGTGTCTTCCAGTCACGTGTATCCGTGGTTCTCCCCTGTGTAAATGTCATGCCCCCACTCCCATGACACTTGGCACTAACACGTGTGTGTTCCTGGTGAGCACACCCAGGACCATGTTCTCATGGCGCCCCTGCCTTGCCCTGCCTCTCGGAGGGCTGGGTGGGGAGGGGCCAGCCGCTCAGTTACCAGAATGTACAGCTCGTGAAATTATAACGGGCCTTTTTTTCACTCAGAAGCCGCATATTATGGAACATTAAATAGTTTGTCATAGAAGCTGGTGGCCTTTTGCTTGCTTGCATCCCTGGCCTGGGGCCCCCCCTTTCCATTCACCCACGTGTCGCCACCCCCAGCTCAGGTTGATACCACCTTTCAGGTCTCTGCTTGCCCGAGGGGAGGGTCAGATTTCGCCCCTGACTCATCCCAGAGCTGCCTGCCATATGTGCTGGCATCACCTTACCTGCCCCTAAATGACCGGAGTGGGGCCCCACAGATGGGCCACCCCTGTGCTCAGCCCTGCCTATGTCTGAGCATCAGAGGAGTGCCCCTGGAGCGGAGATGCTGGCCCGGCTGGGTGTGGTCTTAGGCTTAAGGGGCCCTGCTGCTGAATCCAGGAGACTAAGAGCAAACCCTCAGTATACTATCAGGGCCCTGAGACTGCTCCACCAGAAAGGATGGTCACTACCAATGAAAGAAATCCAGGTGGGCTTACTGGAGGAGGTGTCGCGTGAACTTGAGGTGTTGGATTCCTTTCTTCAAGAAGCGCTTATTGGACTTACATGCCTATATATTGTTCTTGGTCTTCCTACAACTGTTCTCAGTCACAATGATGAACTCGGGCAGGCCTCTGGGAGGTTTTTGGGGGAGTGGGTTTACTATGTGGAGGGAACCTCAAGAGCAAAGTTTCAGAGGCAGAAAATGGGTTGAGTTTGGCTGCCTGGGGACTGTAGGAAATGAGACTGGGAAGGCCAAGTCCAGGGGTGGGGGCTGCCTAAATCTCAGTGTCCTTTGAAGTCTGGGTCAGGCACCATTTCTACGAAGCCTGCCTGAGTCTCCCAATCCTTAGGAATTCCGGGCCATGCCATACTCTGTTTTGTGGCAGCATTATGGGTCTCTGTGGGCTTCCTGGGTGTGGAGACTCGGTCATGCTCATTTCAGTAAATGAACCTCCCCTATTGCTTGCTGTGTGCCTGGCCCAATGCTCTGTCTATGGACATAGGAGTCTAGGGGAAGATGCAGGAGCCCAGTGTCTCAGCTGTGATTGCCTGGTCCCTTGTTAGATGTCCTTTCCATGGGGTGGAGAAGCCCACCAATCCTTTCATCTTCACCAAGTCTTCTTTTTGTCCCTATTTTACAAATGAAAGTAAAGTTCAGAGGTGTGAAGTAACTTGCCCCGAGTCACACAGCTTTTGAGTGGCCAAATCAGGATCTGACCCCTGGTCTGTGTGACACAAAGCCTGAGATCATCCCTTGGTGATGCTGTTCTGAGAAGATGGGCGGTGAAGGGGTCTGGCACGGGGCTGGCTCATAGGAGAGTGAGTCCAGAGGATTGATTTTCCTTTGCTCTCCCTCTACAGTGCTAATGCAGGGTTGGGCCACAGCAGGCCCAGTTCAATTCACCAGCCATCTGGTACTTTTTTCTGTTTAATTAACAAATCTTTATTGAGCTCCTACCATGTGCCAGGCATTCTTCTAGGCACTGGGGATTCAGTGAATAAAAAGAAATCTCTGTTCTGATATTCTCATGAGGAATACAGACAATAAATAAGTAAAATATACAGGATGTTGGCAGATGAAAAATGCTATGGAGAGAACACAGCAGAAAAGGGTACCTGGGAAGGAGAGACCTGGGGGGCTGGGAAGGAGGGAGGAGAAGGGATTGCACTTTAAATAAAATAGTCTGGGAAGGCCTCATGGAGAAGAAAACATTTGCGTAGACTTGAAGGAGGTGAGGGTGTGAAATGTGTGGATCTCTAGGGAGAGGCTGAGGCAGGAACAGCATGTGCAAAGGTCCTGAGGTGGGTGTGTCCTTGAGCTGGCCAGAAGCCCACTGGGTCTGGAGTGAGAGAGCAAGGGGACGATAGTAGGAGAGATGGGGTTGGAGGTAACAGGGGCCCAGCTTACACAGGGCCTGTAGGCTGGTGTCTGATCTTTGGCTTTTGTTCTGAGGGAGATGGGAGCCAGTGCAGTGTTCTAGTGGAGGGAGGACAAGATGTGAGTGACCTTATACAAAACAAGACAGAGATGGTAGCTGGAGAAGGTCCTCCATCCACTGGCTTGGCTGGGAGAGAGGCAGAAATAAAGACTGCTGAGTAAGATAGAGTATGGTGGGCCACAGCAGGACATGCACCCTCAGGGGACCTCCTGTGAGCCAGATGAGGGCCAGAGACCTGGGTTCCACCTGGCTCTGTGACTGAGCTGCTGGATCATCTTAGATCATTCTGAGCCTTATGTGTTCAGCAATAAATTGGAAATAACAATTCTAGTACTGTTGTAAAGATTAAAGGAACTACTGTGGGAGCCCCCGAGGTTGAGGGGCTTCCTGGAGGAGAGAACAATTGAGCTGAGCCTTAAAGTCTAAATAACATCAAGCCTGGTAGAGGGAACATGAGTGAGGATGGCGGGGGCTGGGGGAGAGCATCCAGGATGACGAATGGTGTGAGCAAAACCTGGGAGGCTGGCTACCAGGACACTAGAAAATATAGAGTGTTGAATGAGCTTAGTCAGTGGTCTCTGGGGAGTGGGAAGGCTGGAGGGCCCCTGCCTTCCATCCAAGCATGGAGGGGTTGTTGCCCCCACCCCCACTGCGGCAGCTGGCAAAGCCGGGGCTGTCCCTTCAGCCAGTGCCTCTTTCCAGCCACCTCTGGGGCTTCCCTGGGCCGGCCCCGCCCCTGGGCTGCGCTGGAGGCAGAGGCGGGGCCAGGCGCTCCAGAGCCCGCCTTGGCGGTGGTGGCGGGAGGGCTGCGGAGCAGGTGGAGGGCTGGTGGCGGTGGGGCTGCCATGGCTGAGCCTCCGGGGCCAGAGCACCAGCTCCCACTTCTCCCCTCCTGGCCCGCCCCTGATGCCTGGCAGACTTTTGCCTTTGCTGGGGCTCCGGCCTGAGCAGCCTCACCTTCCCGTCTAGTTGGGATTTGGGGGCTGAGCTGTCTGAGGTCCCCGAGCCAATGCAGTGCCGGCTCCGGGGCCTGGCCGGAGCCCTCCTCACCCTTCTGTGCATGGGGCTCCTCTCCCTCCGGTACCACTCCAGCCTGTCCCCGCAGGGCGGGCTGGAGACCCCTGGGCTGAGCCCGCCAAGCCGTCTGTTCCCTGAGCTGCAGCTGCACGACGTCTTCATCGCAGTCAAGACGACCCGGGTCTTCCACCGCTCCCGCCTGGAGCTGCTGCTGGACACATGGGTCTCCAGGACCAGGGAACAGGTGACAAGTGGGCGGCTGCGGGCCCAGGAGGGACTCCCAGAGGCCTTTCTACTGAGTTGAGTTGAGGTCCTTGGCGGCCTCGAGGGAGAAACTGCTCACCCACCTGCTTCACCTGGGCTGTCTTGCCCTCCTTGCTCCCAGCATCAGGGGCTCCTGTGGCCCTGACTGTGCCCCTCGCTGGCCCCAGAGCCAGGTGTCCTCTGCTTCGTTTCTTTTTGGGGCCAGGCTGGGCCCCTACCCCAGGCTCCTGGGTCCCTCCTGGGGGTCCCTCTATTCCCTAGTTGTTGCAGTGCCGGTTTCCTTCCTGCCCGTCCTGGCCCAGCCTGGCATCAGGGGCAGTGGTGGGTGTTGGGCAGCTGGGGCAAGGCCCTGACTCTGACATGCGTCCAGGCCAGGCTGCCCCCGTCCAGGCCCTGGGTGTTGTCCTCCTGCCTTGGCTGTGAGGGTGGAGCACAGGGGCTGAGCCGATGAGGAGGGGAACATCCTGCTGGGACCTGTCTGGGGAGAGGGGCAGGGGGGCATCCTTTCAGAATTCCCGACAGCCCCTGCCCCCATGCCTCTGCTGCCCAGGGTGTGCCCAGGGGACTGGCACCTCACCTCCAGTGCTCCATTTCCTGTGGGGCGGTTTCCGAGGGAGGGAGGGAGTGAGGGTGTGTGCTGGGATGGTGGTGGCTGAGGCAGTGGTGGGCAAGAGGTGGGGGTAGAGGCCTGCCTGGCCTGCAGGATTTCATGCGTGTGTGTGTGTGTGTGTTGTATACACATGTGTGTATGCTCACATGCATGAAGCCAAAGTGTCAGTGTTAGATGTGCAATGATGAGGTGTGTGTGTGACCGGGGTGCACGGCTTGTGTCTTTCTGGGAAGGCGGCGCTGACAAGCAGAGTCCCTTCTGGGTCTTCCCCTCCCCACACCCAGTGCCCTTCTCAAGCAAAGTCAGTGATTTGGGGGTGTTGGGAGCAGCCTCTGGGGGAGGTGGTGGGGCAGATTTGTATACGTACCTGCGCACGTGCGTGGCACACACACGTGCTGCCCCACTTTGGTGGCTGGTACAGTGGGAGGAAGCGACTGACTGAGACTTTGGAGGGGGTTGGGGCTCCTGGAGACCAAGGAGAGGGGAGGTGGTACCTGGAATAGGCCAGGGCCCCCTAGGGAGGGGACACCCCCACCCTGATTTCTTGGCCCTGATGTCTTGGCACCCTGGATGAACACTTCCCTTGCTGGACCACCCACACCTCGGGCTTTTCCCTGGGGCTCTGCGCGGCTTCTCATCTTGGGGAGGTTCTGGTTCCGCTTGCGGAAGCCGCTGAGCCTGGCCCTCCCCACAGACCTTCCTGTTTATGGTGCTATGTCTGTGTGTACCCGGGAACATGGCCTCACGTGGTCTGAGGCCCTTTCCTGTCTTGTCTTGATCACTATGGTGGTGCCCCTGCTCCAGATGAAGGAACTGAGGCCAGAGAGGAGGAAGTGCTTGCCAGCATCACCCAGGAGGCCTGGGGGGGCGGAGCCCAGTGGGACCCAGCCCCTACCTCCCGGCAGGGGCCCCTCCTTCCCTGCGGAGACTCAGGATCCCACAGCTACCTGGTCACTTGCGCCTCCAGCCTGAGGATCTAGGTCTGGGAGGACCAGGCTGCTAGAGGAGAGGCAAGCAGCCACCTGGTCTGTGCCCTGAGGTCAATCCCAGATGCTAACCAGGCAGCCAGAGGGAGTACCTGCCAGCTCTCAGCTTCTAAGGGACATACATCAGGTGTATCCATCTATTTAAGCCTCACAACAACCCAAGTGGGAAGTACTGATAGTCCCATTTTACAGGTGAGGAAACTGAGCCAAGTTAAGCAGATGTAGGAGATGAATTCACATAGTTTTACACTCCCATCCCCCACATCCTTGCCCCTAGCACAAGGAGCAGAGTCTAGAATCTTGTCCTTTCAGGCAGAGTCGAAAAGAGGAAGGATGCTCAAACAGAGAAAGAGGAGAGGAGACAGGGAGACCCACTCTGGTCACTGCCTCTGGGCCCCCTTTATCTCCACCCTTTGGCTCATTTCTACCGGTGACCTTGTCCAAAGGGCTCCCCTTTCAGCTCTCAGTTTCCCAGCTGCACAGGGCAGGAGGATCTCGGCGCCTCTCTCAGCTCTGCCATCAGGAGCAGGCCTGAGCTAGTTAACTACAGGGCTGGGCACCCGCCCCAGATGGTTAAAGGCGGCCGGGTGGCAGGTGGGCCTTTGTGGCAGCGGGCCAGGGCTCGTGTGCAGCCTTTGTCCCAGGCAGAGGGGGTGGGCTTGGGGGAGGCACGTTTTTTTGATCCAGAGGGAGACTTTCTCTTCCCCACTGTCCTCGAGGGCAGGGGTGGGTGGTGGGGGGAGAAACGACAGCCCCACATCTCCCCTCCTCTGTAGCAGATGGTCCCCAGACACCCCCTCCCCTGACCCCAGCAGGCTGTCTGTCCCTTTGTTTTCCTGCGAGGTTTTAACCATTGTCAGGGTCCCTCCTTGAAACAAATCAAATGCAAGCCCTCAGCTTAGAAGAAATTCTGCCTACCGCCCTGTGCCAGCCTCAGGATTCCCGGGGACCAAAAACAGCAGCCTTATGTGCCCTGCCGGGCTCTGCTGTGGGACCCGTCTTCCCCTCTCCCCACCATGGATTCATTCACAAGCATTCCCTGGCCCATTTGGCCCATGCTCCAGACTTCAGAGAGTTCCACTATCTGGTGCCTGTTTGGTGGCAAAAGTTTGCCAGGGAGCAGGGAGAGAAAGATCTGACTTACTTCACAGGCTCCCCTGGGGCTGTGTTGAAAACAGACTTAGGGTGGGCAGGACAGAGCAGGCAGAGCGGGGAAAAGGTGATGGCAGCAAAGTGGGCAGGAGGTGACGAGGGGGGCTGGACCGCGGCTGGCCGTGGAGGCTGCGGGGAGAGGTCGCACGCTGGTAGTTTGAGAATTGGGTGGACAGAATTTGCTGACAGATTGGATGTGGGTGTGAGAGAAAGAGAGGAGGCATGGTGACCCCAAGGTGTTGGGTCCCAGGGAAAAAGGGAAGAGTGAGAGGAGCCCAGGTCTGGGGGCACACGAGTGCTCACGCACTGATCTGAGGCCCCTGCTAGGTCCCTGGGGAGATGTCTGGTCGCGGTGGGAGGTGACAGCTAGGGAGAGGTCCAGGCCTGTGGGTTCGAATCTTAGCTCAGCTCTGGCCAGCTGCACAGCCATGATCCATCACTTAGCCTCCATCTGCCATCTGCAAAGGGGACAGATCACAACACCTGTCTGGAGGTTTAGTGAGGTTACGGGGGACCAGGTGTGTGAATGCTGTTGGTTGGCACCTGTCCTATTAGGGAGATGTGTAAGGGCCCTGATGCTTACACAGGGAGTTTGTGTGGCTGTCAAAATCCTGCCTATCTCCTTAAGGAGTACAGTGTCCCAGTGTTGTGTATATGTGTTTGTGGGACTGTGATGTGTGTGTGTGTGTGTGTGTGTGGTTGAAGAAAGTGTGATTCTGCCAAGGGTGTGTGATTCTGGCAGGGTCCCAGTGGGTGCTGGTCTGTAAGGGGGCTGAGTGTGAGACTGACGGGCTGGTGTACACTGTAAAGTTGTGTGTCTACAAAAGCTGGCTTATGTGTGTTGTATGGGGGAGGGGGGCTGGGTAGCTGAGAAAGTCATTTTGTCCTAAAGGAGTGTGTGACTGTGAGAGGGGCATGTGCCCCTCACTGAAGGAGGACAGAGGTCTGCTGTGTGCATCCACCTGGACTTGGCGGTGGTAGGCTGTGGGCTGGCACTGGACTCCCCTTGGCTGACCCTAGTTTTGACTCGATTTCTCTTTCCTAGACATTCATCTTCACTGACAGCCCGGATGAAGGTCTCCAGGAGAGACTGGGTAACTCTGGGTTGGGTAGAGGCGCCTTGGCTGTTACCAAGGAAAGCTGGGGTGGCTGCTCCCTGGCCTGGGGGGTCTCCGGAAGACAAGGCTGCCCACCTTGGCACATGGGGATTCCCCCTGTGCCCAGGAAGGGAGCAGGCTTCTTGCCTGGCAATAAGGATGGGTGTGGGGAGGGGCTGTGCTGGACAAGGCCCTGGACACCTGGGTCCCAGCCCTGCCTACTGTTCATTAGCTCTGGGGTCCTGAGCAGGTCAGCCCTCCCTGGCTTCAGTTTCCTTATATGTAAAATGGGAGTGGGTGGACTGCTCCAGGCTCTCTGAGGCCTCTCCTTAATCTGCATGCTCACACTGTGCAGGGCTCTGGGGAGGAGCTGGGCAGGGGCCCCTGACTTGTCCTCACTTCTCCAGGGTCCCACCTCGTGATCACCAACTGCTCTGCAGAGCACAGCCATCCTGCCTTGTCCTGCAAGATGGCTGCTGAGTTCGATGCCTTCCTGGCCAGCGGGCTGAGGTGAGTTCACCTTGGACTTTGGGGGCACGTGTGACCTTTGCTTCAGGCCAATTCCTTATTGAAATGGTTGTGTCAAAAAAGTAAAGTTGTTTAGGTCTTGTGAATTTAATCATGTAGGGCTTACCTGGGGTCTGTCTCTGGGCAGACTGTCTGGGTTAGAATCCTGCCATTCACTGGCTGTGTGACTTTGAGCAAGTGTTTTAACCTTTCTGAGTCTAGGTCCGGACCTGTGAAGTGTGCACAGCTTCCTCATGAACTTACACAAGATGCTGCTTGGCACAGAACAGGTGCCTTAAATGTTAGCCACCCCCGCCCCATAGCTGTTTGTTGACTCCTTATCGGGGCGCAGGGGGAGTCTGGCTGGCTGGCTGGCTGGCAGCCTTTGGGACCCCCTGCAAGCTCACTTCCCCCTCCCATCCCCACAGGTGGTTCTGCCATGTGGACGACGACAACTATCTGAACCCTAGGGCGCTGCTGAAGCTGCTGAAAGCCTTCCCGCAGACCCTCGACGTCTACGTAGGCCGGCCCAGCCTGAACCGGCCCATCCACGCTTCTGAGCCACAGCCCCACAACCGCACGGTGGGTAACTCCCTGCTGGCTTTGCGCATTGGCCGCTGGTCCCGGGGGCGGGGCCTCGAGGGGCGGGGCCACGCGGGGGCGGGGCTGTAGAGGGGCCTGATGGGTTTTCTGGGTTTCTGATTTGGCTGCATCCCTGCCTGTCTAGGCTGATGGCTTGGCCTCTGATCCTGTCTCCTCCTTTATGAAATGGGGAGACTGAGATAACGCAGAGGAGGCATCGAGATGGCACTTAGTAGGGCCTGGGCCACTGAGGAGCAGCAGCTCGTCCTGGGCACACAGTGAGATGGGGGTGGGCTGAGGCTTCCTGACTCCATGGCAGGGCTCCTAATAACCACCTGGTATCACCATGCAGTTGTACAGGTTGTTAAAATGCTAAGTACTACTGGGCCAGGTGGGAAATTGCTGCTGCCGGGAGCCCCTGAACCCTCCCCTCCCCTAGGCACCCCTCATCTCTAACCAGCAACTGAGGAGTTGACACTTGGCACAACAGGGTCCCCAGCGCCAGCTTCAGCTCCAGACCTGAATGGACAGATTAAGGTCACTAGATTTAGAAGACAAACGAAAAGCCAGGATACCTGTTAAATTTGACTTTCAGAGAAACAGTGTAGAATTTTTTTTAGTATAGGTATGTTGCATGGTTTTCCCCCTTCCCCAGCACCCACCAGGCTCCCAGTGTTGGGATGGCACAGGCCCCTAGGGCTCCCTTGGCCCCAGTGAAAGGGCAAGTCAGGGGTCCAGGCTCCCTAGAGGCAGCGCCTGGAGCGGAACTGGACCTGCTGTGGGGCTTTCTCCCTCCCGGGGTCACCATCTGCTTCACTAGGGAAACCAAAGCAGGAAACACAAAACCTTAATTATCTGCAGCTAATCAGCCTCTGAGCCCTAATTAATCCTCCTGGGCCCTGGAGGTGTGTGTGTGAACGAGCTGATTCCAGGTGAGCTGACGGGTCCCCGAGGCTCCCACGCACCTGACCCTTGGCCTGAGGAGTTGGGAGCTCTGCTCCGGGACCTGACTCCCAGAGTTCACACACCTTGCTACCTTTTGGCTTTGTGACCTTGATTGAAGTCATCTCACCTCTCTGTGCCTCAGTTTCCTCATCTGTAAAATCAATAATAGTCACTACCTCATAGGGTTGTTGTGGGCAAAGAAAGAATTAAATGAGGTCATCTATCCAAGTGCTTGGGAAGGGGCCTGGCATGTGGCAGGCACTACTGAGTCTTACAGATCAGCACCCGGCTCAGCTCAGCCTCGTGGCTCCAAGCCGCGTTCTTCCTGTGCAGATTCGGAGCCCTGCTGGGCACACCCAGGCCCCGACCCCACAACGTGCGTGAATGCCCTCCTTGTCACAGACTCCACAGGTGGGATCCCAGGACTCTGACCCAAAGGTCCTGGCCTGTTCAGACCCTGGCATCCCCTGGGGTGGGACAGCAAAGGGGGCAAGAGCTCTGGCTCAGGGTCAGTCCCAGCTCTGGGACCTCAGGCAAGTGACCTCAGTTCTGTGCACCTTGGTCACCTCACCTGCATTACAGCTCTTAGCACAGGGCTCGGCACAGTCAGTGCTCGGGGTTAGGTGCCTACACGGTCACCGCTGGTGTTACTATAATTCCTTGGGAGTGGGAGCCCTGCCCTCATCAATTCATTAAACTAGCGTTTATTGGGCGCCTCCTGTGTGTCAGGGCCTCAAGAAACCATTCATTCTGCCTGGTTGAGGCCCGACCTCTCTCTAAGAGTTCAGCATCTCAGAAGTAAGCTCACAGAGGTCTTCAGGAGGAGGGCACCTCTGGGCCAGGAGAGCCACTGGATTTCAGAACTGGAGCCAGTGTTGTACTCACAGGTGACAAATCTGAGGTCCGGGGAGGGGCTTTCTCAAGGTCATACAGCTGTGCAGTGGAGGAGGCGGGGGGCCCACTGCCAGACTTTCCAACTCCCTGCCCAGGGCTCTTCTCACTGCTGCATCGCGGGAGATATCTCAACCCAATGCAACACGCATCAGTGAAGCACCAACTGTGTACTTGGGAGAAGGTAACCTTAGGGCACTTGTTTGACCAAGAGGTGGTACAGCTGAAAAGGTAGTGTTTCTCAAAAGCCTTAAAGAAATTCATGGGTGAATTTCCAGGTCCCCATAGAAGAGGTAGAAGAGACTTTGGGCAGTGGTGATGTTGGGTGAGGGCAGAAAGTGGTTGAAACCCCAAAGGAATGGTATTGGTTCCTGAGATTGAGATGTCAAGGGGTTTTCTGGCCTCAGGGGCTCACAGGCCTGTCTGCTCTTCTCTCTACTCCATGAGAGGCCTCATTCTCTCCTTTTGTGGAAAAGCATTCTTGATCCCAGGAGTTGGGAGTGGTAAGGTCAGTGTAAGTAGCCTGGTGGAAATGGCATCAGCATTATATTTACTGGTGACCCTGTAAAAGCATCTCTCTCTCATAGCATATGGAGCTCAGGAAAGGACTCTGATTGGCTGGCCTAAGTCATGTGCCTGCTGCTGAGCCAGTCATGGGGTCAAGGGCTGTGGTCTTGTGATCCGTCATTCCTGGGGCACTTTCCCGCCTCTGTGGCCTATGGGAGCAGGTGCTGTGTTTAGCAGCCCCTCTTGAACCACATGGGGTGAGGCAGAGACATTTCTCTGGGGACAGGAGTAAGGTGCAGCGGTTGGACAAATATGGTATGTGGTCTCTTTAACTGAAATCCAGCCAGACTGAGGTCTAATTGGTGTCCCATCATCCTTTTTTTTAAATTTTATTTTTTATTGAAGTGTAGTTGATTTACAATGTTAGTTTCAGGTGCCATTACTCTTAATTAGCTATGTTACTTTGGGCCTCAGTTTCCTTATCTACAAAATGGGCGTAATAATGTCAGGCTGTAGCAAGACTCTAGACAGATGTGAAATAAAAAGCTTTTGAGTCATGCTGGATGGAGGCAAGGGGTTGTTGGCTGTTGCCCCCACCCCCCAGGCTCACCCTGCAATTTGGCCCTCCCCATCTCTCTCCCCAGAGGCTGGTACAGTTCTGGTTTGCCACTGGAGGTGCCGGCTTCTGCATCAACCGCAAATTGGCTTTGAAGATGGCCCCGTGGGCCAGGTAAGCGGAGACCACAGGTGGGGGAGGGTGGTGGGTGGTGTCTGGTGTGTGTGTGTGGGGACTTTGCAGCAGGAAGGATTTGAGAACAAGCTCAAGAGGAACTCCCTCTCATTCCCACTGAGTCACAGATTTACACAGTTAGTGGTGGGTAAGCTGCCTGCCACCTTGCCTTTGGGGGTACACAGCCTAGTGCACTCTGCCACACACAGGCAAGTCGTGTAATCTCCTGGAGCCTCAGTACCCCCATCTGTAAAATGGATCTGGCGGTCGTCCGTTGTGAGTAGGGTTAAATGAGAAAGTGTCTGGGCTGGCACCTGGTCCAAGCCAGGCAAATATTAGGTTCTATTTTAGCCCTCTTCTGACTGGTCACTTTTGCAGGGGAGGTGAAGGCCAAGTGCAGGGACACTCAGAGGAAGGAGTAGGGCCTTCTGCTTGGGGACGGGAGGGCAGGCTTCCTGGCAGAGGTAGCATTTGAGCTAAGGTGGTCCGAGAGAGGCCCAGGGTGAGGGGGATTGTGGGTGCAGTGGGAGCTCTCAGTACAGGGCAGGGGTACTGGCGTTCCAGAGAGGACATGGCAAAGGTCTAGCCTCTTGAGGTCAGCTGGGCAGGCCACTATTGTCATTAACAGCCACATCGCTGTCACTACCTCATATTAAGGGTTGACTCTGAGCCGGGCCTATGCTTTGCTAACAGTATCACAGCCCCCAGGGCGGAAGGGAGGAAGGGATATTGGCCTTATTTTTTTAAGTCTTTTTTTTGGAGGGGGAGGTAATTTGGTTTATTTTATTTTATTTTATTTTATTATATTTTATTTTATTTTAT